AGGCATGAAAAATGTTTTCCCCCCGTGAGTGAAAAGGTGAGAAAGCGTTTTTGCCACTTGCGTGAAAAGGCTTAAAAAAATGTTTTCCCACTTATGTGAAAAGGCACGAAAATGGTTCCTAACATTCGGATATTGTTTTTCACATTCTGTGAAATGAAAATGAAATCTCTGGGAAGAGAAAAAAGTGTGACAAGAATGTCCAATCCCCAGGTTAACTTTCAACCGCACTGTACTTTAATCCCATGGTGAATCCTTGAATGTTTCATGATTAAATATGTTCTTATCTCTGTCGGGCAAAAGTCATGAATGCGCTCTTGAGGTACTTGTATCTTTGATAGCCTGGAGGCAAGGCTGGTTTACCCCTTACATTTATGGCAACACAACCTCTAGGAAGTATGTGACCATCATTGTTTGTCAGTGAATAACGAGGTGTTTTAATACCTTTTGAAGCATGTACTACTAAGAGAGCAAATAATTTATTTCATTGGCAACAAACTCGGTAATCTTGAAGATACAGAAACAATGCATACAGTGTATTTTAGTGGTGAAGGTTAGAACAAATGATATCTTTGCAAGAGTTAGACATTAAGCGATTTAGCATTGTGGAAAACAACTCGGCGCATTCCATGTTCATACAATGCACATCATTCAAAGCATTGTTTTTTACTGTGTTGCAAAGGAAAAGGCATTGTGACTCCTAGCCCAGGTTGGACGCCAGTGTTTCCTTATTGATACTGCAATGTGACACACAAGCACAGGCACTGACATCTGAGGACTAGAGACCAACAACCGAGGACGTCAGACCCACTACTGAAGACACGGAAACATCTTTTATTCTCTTTGTGTTCTATCCTCTGTGGTAAAATGTACACAGTCTGTATCCTGGAAAATAACTGCACTAGTAGGGACCCATGGGCAGGCCTTTACTGGATTGAGGGCACACTTTCTTTCCCAAGGACAGTTGGGATCGAGTTGAGGGGACAACAATGAACATCACCAATCAGAGAAGAACAATCAACCCAGGAGGCAAGTGAACAGACAACGCCATTTGAGTAGCCTTCAAAAATAGATCCACAGTTCGTGTTGACATGCCGAATCACATCCAAATGTTATCCACAGTTCGTGTTGACACGCCGAATCACATCCAAATGTGCCGAATGTTGTTTAATGTACAGGGCCAGCAGATGACCTGAAAGGATGAATCGTGCTCGATGTTGTGTAATGTAAACAGAATTCTGATAAATCATGACTCACAATGCAATGCTTCAATGTTAAGATTTAAGGACAATGTTTGGCAAACATGTTAATAAGGAAAGCTAAAACTGTTGGGGTGAAATGCAGGAGTGAAGATCGGTTTCCAAATACTTGAAGGGAGGCCCCCAACTGAAAGTGAACAAGATCCCAGAAGTCTGGTACAATGACCTGCAAAGCCGGTTCACCGGATGGGTTTCACTGGTATCGCTTTACCACAACCTGTGACAGACTGTGAAGTTGCACTGTGGAAGTGACACACGAAACTAGTGTTGGTAAACTTGCTTCCTGTCAAATGTTAACTACAAATTGACTTTGCCACACATGGTATAGACTAGCCCAGTAAATGGTGCCCAGATGATAGGCTATATCTGCATCCTTGGCCAATCAGCTGGTAGTGTGCAGTACAAAATGTTGATACAAGTTTTTTTTCAACATAAAGGAATTTTGCGAGTTTGTATAGACTTTTTATCAACAGCAAGGGGGGACTATTGGCACTATGCCGGGCATTTTGGCTGTGTGCTGATGTAAGGATGTAAGGATATAAGTTTCCTTTTAAAGAATGCTATGTAGCATGAAACTGAAATTGAAAGCTGAGAAGCACAATTTAGCTAGAGGTCCAAAGCCATAAACAAGAGTACATGGAGTTAGCCTGGTTCACTGTTTCACTGCTATGTCACTACCCCTGATCTACATGTAGATATGTAATATTAATAAACATTTTCCTGCCTTGTAGGCTTGCATTGTTGATATACAATGTACATCTAACATGATGCGGACCCAAACGTGGCATACATTGATTTTTTCACCTCCAGTGCCTAGCTAGAGAATACTTAAACCTAAAGTTTCACGATAAGTTAATCCCTTCGCGACGGATGACGGTAAGAGCCGCCGTAAAAATTGAGATCCTCAGCCTGCTATTCGGCTATTATTCTCGGCCCACACTCGAGCGAACATGGTGAAAGAAGGCATACCCTGTATATATGGTGATTGGCCTTTGTGTGTTGCCAAGAAATGAAAAGGCTGAATTTGCATCATAATCACCAGCTTTACAATAGTCCCCACTTTGAAATAGAGGCAAGGGGAATGTGGAAGCATGAGTAGAGCTGCTTGCCATTGAACAATGAACCTTTTCACTGTGTAAATCAAAGTGTGCAGAGCACGCAGGGCCAGGGACAAACCGAGAATTGGCGGTTTGGCAGGTGGCTTTTGTGTCCAAGTGAGGCTGGAATTCTCTGAGTCCGCTTTCAGAGAAAAATTCCTTTCCTCAATGGGTTAAATTCATCAGGTCCTCAGCATTCCCATTCACAAATCTTGAGTTTACGTACCCTCTACAAAGTTCCAATCAAAGTCTATTTTGGGCCTCATTTTCCGACTTTTTTTTTTACCTGCCCAATGAACCCTTTTAGAACATGCCCAAAATTAAGAAAACAATTTCCCCGCAAAGTTGTGAGAAAATTGTGGTCAGAAGCGAGAGGGGAGGTTAGACCATTTGTTCAGAATTGATCCACATGAAATAAATTCTGAAATGAAGTTTCTGAGGTCTGTTCAAGGGCGCCATGTTAGGAAACCACTCAGCTGAACTTGTGCCCAATATCCGGACGCCACAGTGTTGGATGACACTTTCATGACAGTGACACTGTTCCCAAAGGTTCAACGGCAGCCATATTGTGAAGGGAATAGCTACTGTATTTAACTAAATGAATTTGAAATTTTGCAACAGAGAGGTTAACATTTGGGAACACTGCGAGAGGAAAGTCTGGAGAAACGCTGAAGTGAGCCACGTTAGGGGACTCCACTCTATTCTTTGCCCGTTAAATTAAAACCCAAAGGTTTAACCAACACCCCTCCTGATTGATCCACGCAACTCCTCCCCTTTCATGGGGCAGGCTGAAGGCAGATTTTCATCTAGTTTGATTTAATTTCAAAAAGTTTGAGAAAAATAGGATGTAGTGGCGGCCGATCTTGAAGAAACCGTGAAGCTAAGTCAACTGTTTACAGAATGCAGGCTCGGCCTGTTAACTTTTTCTCAACTTCGCGAACAGACACAAATATGGAGAGGCTACTCAATATCATTTACCCCAAAATCTACAACAAAAACAGATGGAACAATATTGTGTCATCTCATGAATATGCATTAATGATCGAATATGAACTCTCAACAAAGCATTCAAGGTGTATCCCTTGAACTGATTTGTTGCGAAATACAAGTGCCGCCATGCAAAAGCAAAGGTTACTTTAAAACTGAAAGACAAGCAAAACTTTGACAGCTCATTGTCCTGCGACTAGTACTTTTTAACAAACCTAACAAACACTTTTGTCACGAAGATTCAGAGTCCATTCTTGTTTTTCTTTCTTTTTTTTTCAAGAGAGAGTTTGTTCGACCTTTAACCCATGTATTCTCTATATCAACCCCCAAATTTGCAAGGCCTAGATAAATGCACGTTCATCATCCGCTTATTTTTGGAACGACAATACCGTTGATGTCAGATCAATGTTTGCCAAACACTTGAGTGGGGGGGGGCCAAATGTATTAACCAGAACAATTGGAGCAGTCAGGATGCAATGCCTGATGTTTTCACAAACTGCACACAGATCATTCAAACAATGGGATATGAACTTAAAATCCATCATTTCGAGAGAGAAACTAGGAAAAAAATAGCTCAGCATAGAAGCATCCACCAATGGATGAAAGTTAAACAAAACCCCCCAAAAAACACTACAGAGAGAGACTCGATCGGGCAGGTTTGGATTGCCATTACCATGACTTGACCGGAGCAACAGATTTGACCAGTCCAATGGTCACCAAGCGGTCAAGTAGAACTGACCTGTATATTGACTATTGTCAGATAAATCGACAGACTCGGGCAAAAACATCACTTCCCGAATTTACCGGGCTTTTTCACCTTGCTCAATAGCGTCAAGAGAGGTGCACGTTAAGAACCTTGTTTCGGGTGATAACGGTCATGTTCATTAAGAATGCTTAGATTCGGCATAATTAAGAATTGAATTGGACGGACAACTGCCAGAGGTCAATGACCTGGGTGACCCTCAGCATCTTCTCTCTGCATAAAGTCATCGTTTTTCTGAGCCGGCCTTTGATGTTTCAAACAGAATTGTAATGAAGCTCACAGTAACCTAATTTACTTCTTGAGGAAGCTGATTTTCATTTTCCGCTTTTCAAGTCTTGTGGGATCAGCGTCTCACCAAGTTGGGATTTTTTTCATTTCTGAACATTTTTGGAATTCTTGGCTGAACTTTGTTAAAATTCAATCAATATTTGTTTCAAGTTACTTCCCCAAGACATTTCCTTTTCAACAGCAAGTTGACCAGACACACACAGAAAGAATTCTTCCACCATGGGTCGAGGTAAAACTTCCATCGGGTGTGATGGAATGTGTTTTGCTTCTAACACTGTAACTAAAATAAATAAATGCTAGCTCAGCAGATGCGATTGAGGCTATCGCAAGTCAAGACCCAATTTTCTTTTTTTGGCAGCAAATGAGAGATGACAGCTGAACGTCTTTCGCTACAATCCATTTGAATAGCTGACGACTTGGAACTGATTTACTAGTGAAAATTTTCAGTCGGAATTGTAAGAACATGACCACAACCCTCTCCTTCGCACAATACCGTTGACCCACCTCTACCGCAATCACCAACTTGGCCATGACCCCGAACATGGGCTAGGTCAGTCACGGTGGTGGACTGGAACGGTGTGTGGGGGAAACTCAAAAGACAAGCCTTACCTAAGAACGGTCTTGGCAAACTGCTCGCGCTGGTCTTTGGTGACCCGGGGCAGGCTCAGATCCGGGCTGAGCATGAGCTCCGGCAGCCAGCCGGACAGCTGGCTGAAGCAGTGCTTGTTGAGCGTGAAGAGCACGTCGGCTAGCGACTCGATGACGGTGCGCGGAGCCGCACCCCCAATGGCCTGTGTAGAGGGATGCGGTGTAGAACACAGAAAAAGGAGGCCAGTAAATTACCGTTATTTGATACGGTGTATTCCCAAATAATTTTACAATTTTGCTTTGTCATGAGCGCTGCACAACCTATTCCACGGGTGTCTCAGAGGGGTGGCCATAACTGGATTGGTGCCAAGAGTGTGGGAGACACCAAGATTTTTTTTGGGGGGGAAGGGGAAGCACTTTTGCTGGTAGGGCTGTGCCGAATATTTTGAATAACTGAATATTCGATCGATTGTCGAAAATTCGAATAGTATTTTTCAAATTTGAATATTCGAATGCAAAATTCATGTAGAGAAAGGGAAAATTTTCTTTTGTTTTATTGGAAGAAAATTTGCACTATGAAGGCTTGCTTCGAGAAGATTCAAATGAAAAGCGTCAGAAATCTTACAATTTGAAAAGTACATTAATCATTAAACAATTTAAAAGGAATAGACAGTTTCAACAGGAAAAGAAGTCTTGTTCAATTTCTCTTCAATGTTGCCAAATCGTGGCTGGAGATACTCCTAGATGTGACAAGCTATTATACTGATCATAATGTACAATTGTTCATCAACAATCTGCCCGTCGGTGCGACCGAATATTCGGATATTTGATCAAATGGAAGGTCAAGTCTTCGAATAGTGAATTATTCGAATTAACTCAGCCCTATTTTCTGGGCAGAGGCAATTCAGGGGGGGAGGGGGAAATGCAATCATCAGCAACGAACTGGTGAACCATTCTCAGTGGATGTGGGTCAATTTCTGGGCGATTCCAGCAAATTGGTGATTTTCATGACCTTTCATCCTTTTTTAAAATTTCTTTTGCTTTTTCCTTCCTTTTTTCCCCTTCCGGGTGGAACAATGCCCAACATCCACACCAGAGATTTTTTAATCAATGTCCATTTAAATGCATAAACTGAGCGGTAAATTTTGTTCCGTCCATTTTTGACTGCAGACGGGACTTCCAGAAATTCTTAGCCATTGGGGAAATAGTGCTAACAAGACAGGCCCCTTTGTATTTTGTGTGTGTGTCACATGGAAGTGGGTATCATTTGAGAGAATGAAACAATGAATGAAACTACGACATTGAAACGTTGATAATACTCTTAATATCAGATCTTCTCCCTCTTCCTTCCTTAAAACAGTGTTTACAGAATAATGCAGCCTGATTGGTTCTGGGATCGCATAAGTACAACAGAATTACACAGTCATTTGCATTGGCTTCCAGTTCGTGCATGTGTGGAATTTAAGATCTTGCTTTTGGTTTTCAAGGTGTTGCAGAACAAAGCACCAAGCTACCTGACTGACTTGATTGTCAGATCTTTTTGTGCTTATGACTTGCGCAATCAGGATACCTTGAGTCTTCAGGTTCCTCAATTGTATAATAAACTTAACTGGGCATTTGCTATTGCTGGACCGAGGTTGTGGAATTCTTTGCCAAACCAGTTGAAAGATATTAGAAATGAAAACGAATTTAAGCGTGCAATCAAGACGTGCCTTTTTAATAAATGTTATAATTAACAAGGTCTTCTTCATATAACTTTATGCTTTATCAATCATGTGGTTGAACCTGTAATTTACATGTAGATTCGTAACTTTTAATTATAATTTTAATGGTAGTTTTTATAACGACTGTTATTGTGTAATCATATTATTTTTGCTATTTTGGTACGTACAGCACTATTAAATATTGTTGATAGAAATGGCGCTTAAGAAATGAAATGAATGTTAAAGGTTCTACTCCTTCAAAGAGAAGATAAATGGCTGTCCCTAAAGACTGTCATCTACAAAAAAGTGTATTTTAGTGTGAACGAAATTTCAAAGGCCACACTGAGGTTGTGTGAAACAGCAGAAATCTGTACCCTCTTCCGTATTTTTGTCATCAAAACAGTTCTTTCTGTTTCCACGGTGACGTTTGAGCAGTTTCAACGATCTCTGATTTTGAGGAGAGAAGTAACACTATGGTGAATCCAAAGACAAATATTACCTTGAGGACCAGCTCCAGCAGTGACCGGCCGTGCTGCGCAAGTGCCTCGCTCAGCACTGGCAGGTTCTCAGACTGGGAGATGAACGACATCTAGGGATGGACAAATACGTCAAGCTTCTCGTCAAACATGGGCAAAAATCATCTTGACTTTTCACAACTCTCTGTTTGTTGCTGCAGTCAAGTCCATCACAAGTCCTTCAAAACGACCGGTCACAAGCAACAGGGCGAACATTGATAAAGGAATGTGTTCTGTCACAGTTTCTTTGAACGGAAAGGGTTCGTAGCTCGGCCTTAAGACTGGGTGATTTGTGATGGATTTGTGATGGACTTGACCACCGCACTGACTTTCTTCGCATTTGTCAAACACTTGCCATACTCTGTTTGTTGAGAGAATAAATGAAGGTAAGGATGGCCTTCATTAGGAAAATGAGAGCACACGGTGCATCCGTGAAGCTCTCACACAATGCTCTGTCGCAATTTAAGATCACCACAAAACCCCACAAGACGACCGTAAGCCCCGCACAAGTCCTCCAGTCTGAATTGAAGTCACAAACTACTCCAATGAGCTGCAACAGAAGTATTCCTTCATCAATGTTCACCCTGATACTTGTGACTGGTCTTCTGAACGGTCTTATGTTAGGTCTTGTGAATGGTTTTTTTTACTGATCTTGTCAAAAAATCTTGGAATTGTGTCCAACTCTTGTGACTAGTCTGGTGTCTGGCTTTATAAAATGGGTCTTGTGACTGGTCTGTTGTCTGGTCTGTTCTTGTAACTACTTTTCTGACAGATCAAGCGCCTAGAGACAAGTGCCTAGAGGCCCATGCAGACCATTAATTTCACAAAATGTGGGATGCTCTTACAGTTTGGCATTACTGTGCAACATACCCTAACATCAAAGAGAAAAAGACAAAGATGAAATTTCTTACAACCGTGAACTTATGTTCCAAGGTCTTAAATCTTCTATATACCAATCGGAGCTGGCACCATTATGTACATTCATTTGGACTTGATGTGGATGTCTGCAGTTTGGTTAAGTCAAGATATCCTATCCGCTTCGAGCAGGAACGAAAGAGGTCGTCTTTTGAAATGAAATTGACAGTCCTTCGGTACTTACGCACGCACAGGTGTGCAAGTTTATGCACATTTTACGTGGACCACGCCGAGTATGCGCAACGATTTTAGTGTAAAATGTGTGGTCTTTGCGTGAACGCCGAATGCGTGCAAGAACCTGGTCGGAAAACTTAGCACCATCTGCCTTTCTTCCGCTTGTGAGGGTGGACTGCAGCTCTGGGTGGATTGATAGCAGGGGCATTTAACATGCCTGTATAAAGGCCTGCTGGTGAGTAGGGTAGCACCACAGTAGGGTCAGTAAATTTGGTTCCTGCACTGTCTATACGCACACCAATCTTTCCTGACTTTCATCGGCAGTAATCCCAACTTCCTGCACATTCCCGATTGAGAATGGATTCACTCACAAAGAAGTTGCAGCTGCTCCTGATCGTGGGGTTCTCCGGCAGCGTGACTGCCATCAGGCCGCACTGGAAAATGGCTGCCGGGTTGCAGCCCTCACGAACAAACACACTGCTCTGCTTCTTCAATAGCTGCAGTGGAGTAAACAAAGAGAACGAGATCATAGGTCATCTCCACTGGTTACACTGGGGTCATCTGCACTCTACCCACATATCTGCCTTGTCCTACCCTGCTTTGACACTCAAAAAATGTTGTTAACATACATACAAAGGAGAGTTTCCTAAACCCGGCAAATCCAGGAACTCTTAAAAATGCATACCTGCAGGAAGATCTTTAATTTGACAAGTAACAATTTATAAGGGTAACTTTAATTAGGATGCATAAAAGGAACTATAAGGAAAATACAATGAGCATAATTTATGTTGGTGGAAGAAAGACAATCTAATAGCTTAAATTGGAAAGAGCGTCATTGTCAAATATCTGTACACGTACAAGGAAAATACGCTAAGGAAGGCGTGTATAACCAATTTTCTTCCAATCCGCCTCGAGCAGAAAGCGCCCCTCATCAGTTGAAAGAGCTACGTTGGGGACTGTTCGTTTTGCTGGTAGCGACGCACACACAACGCCTGCACCTTGGTCATCTGTGAACCAGCGAAGTAGAGTTCCCATCAAGGGAGCCTCCGTTGCTGGAAAATTGTGCCCTCTCTCGGTCCCGCTCGGGGCCAATAGGCTTAGATACAACAGCATGCTTCTGCTGAAACTATCCACTCATTCGTTCATCGAAAAGATTTTGATTTATACCAAAACATTAAAACCACCACACTTACGATTGCACAGACGGCCATGAACGTTTCGACGACGTCAGTTTGGTCTTGGGCTTCTGGTTTCCAAACAGAAGGAGCAAAGAATTCAGGTAGGGGAAGAATGAACTTTTTTTAAAAAATTAGGCTGGATCATGACTTACATTTGGAATTCACAACTCAAAATTGGATGCACTCTTGGATGGAAAATGCATAACTTGGACGCAATGGACAGAGGTGTGTTTCTGGAAAAGGTCTGCATTAAGGGTTAAAATGTCAGCAATGTCTGCTTATCACACAGTGTACATATTAACCACTAGCTGCCGGGTGGATTTTTCTTGAGCAAGACAAGATGCCGGCTCATTTTCAAGATTTTCCGTTTTAAAAATTCTGCAAAAATTCATCATTTCATTCAATGGCCGTTTATACCAAAATGAAGGACTCTTTGGGCACTATTCTAAAGCTGACAGGTAAAATTCATTGACTCCTGAATATTTCAGCCAGGCCTGCAGCCTTGGAAAAAGAGCCCAGATTGTGCGGTGTTACATGAGATTCTTTTGTTCCCGATACCGGCACAGTGCACTGCTGACCTCTTTTCAATAGGGGCCAGATTAGCGTGCAGTGGTGCTGTGTGGCTCATCGCTACGGTGGTGGAGAGCTTTTGTCCCCGGTGGTAATCCGCTCGCTCTAAATGCCTCAAACCGTGGTATACTGTTTCAAAACAAGGCTGGATTTTCTCCACTATTGGGAGCGAAAAAATGTCGGTAATGCCCAGCAGCTCAGTCTTTGTGCTGAGCACAGTCTTTTGTCATAAGGCCCAACTCTTTTGTCCCAGTTCCGGGCTCCCCGGCTCTGCATATAAAGCCTATGTACTCAAAAACGGGTCGCCCGGCAGGAAGTGGTTAAAGTGAATGAAATTCAATTCAATTTGCTGAGATTTTGAAGCAGAATTTCTGAAAACACAAGCAAAATAAAGTTGCCATAAAAATGTGTCACTTGGTAGCAAATATTCAAATATGTAATAGTGAGGTTGCAATGTTTTTTTGAGAATCCCAAATTGAAGTATGTATTTTTGTAATTTTTAATAAAGCAAAGTAAAATTTCATGACAAAGAAACAAGTTCTCTGCACGTACGTGCCGGAAAGAGACTAACTGTCTTAGAGCAGAGCTGGACAAACATGGCGCCCACTGCGGAACACACCTCCTCGTTGTCTCCGAAAAGGATGATAATCTGTCAACGAAATCAGTGAAACGAATACAAAATGTGGAAGGAAAATGAAGCGGCATCGGAAAGTTGTAGCTGCGGCTTGGGAAAGCATGCAGTGGCAGCAAAGACTCAATTACCATTGGCTCTGTGTTTGGCCTAGTCACAGCCACAGGATTTGGACATGCTGTTGGTCAGGCGAGTCTTTCAAATCATCCATTTATTACTTTAATTCCTGTGATGGCTGTTCAAAATCTAGGTAGACTGTGGATTGAGTTGTCAATCCTCGTTCTCAGTGGTGGAGCCAGCATTTATAAACAGGGCGGAGGGGAAGGACAGTATTGACAAAAGGAGGGAAGGACCAGGCGGAACCAAAATGGCCGTTCATTATGTGCGCCGTACTGCGTGTCGCTGCTGTGTGATAGTTACCCATGTGCACTGACGCATAATCCGCCATTTTGGTTCCGATAATTGAGACACTCACGTTGCAACTCTCTCCATGCACAGGGGCCAATTTCATAGAGCTGCTCAAGCACAGAATTTGCTTAAGCACGTAAAAAACCTTGCTAGATAAACAAAGGTTACCAGCTCAAACTCTCTGTGATTGTCATGCTAACCAAAAGACAGGTAAATACCATTCCAAAGCAATATACATCACAAGAAGTTTTGGCTGGTAACCTGATTTGTCAAGCAAGGTTTTTTACGCTTAAAATATTTTTTTGCTTAAGCAGTGCTACGAAACTAGACCCAGCTCTGACGGAGGTTAACTCCAAAATACACGCGAGGCATATTTGCAGTGATACCTTTTGTCTTCTCGATTATTAAATTTGAAAAATGAAAAGGTATTTCCTTTTGAAAAGTTAATTATAATTGGGGAGGGGGGGTGCGCACCGAGCATGCCCACTCAGGATCCATTAGATTGGCTTACCTTTGCGAGGAAAGAAAGTCATTTACATGTATGGTAGTGACTAGGCTTCGAAACCATTTTAAAAAGAACAAAACGTGAAATCAAATAATAACTAGACCCACAAACCCTCACTGCAGCGTCTATGTACGGTACAGTACTTCCAATTTTCACTGCGCTCAAACATTCATTCAATATAAAAAAAAGCTGAAGAAACGTAAAATAACAGAGAGGGTTCTTGACATAGAGAGAAACTCTTGGGAAAACCGGCCCAGGCAGGTCAGACACATTCTAACTTTCTGTTTTCAGTCTAGTGAAAAACACTCTACTACAAATCTGGAGACAAACACATTCGTATGGGTCGTGCTATAAATTTTGGTCCAATTTTTTTTTTGACGTCTCTGCCACATCTGACATAGTCCAGTTCAGAAAGTTGTTTATCATTTCTTTCACCGCCCTGTGCAAAAACTTTGTACACGTACGCGTACACGTAAGCCCGTTAATTAAATGGAGAGATGTGACGCTCACACCCCAATTCTGTGTGTTTGACCCCCTGTCGGTGGATAATACACTGCCACTGTGCACAGGCAAGGAACACACGCACAGCAGAAATGCATTCCAGGGAGTGGACTGCATCTGACACGTTGTTGAGAATGCCATCTTCACTTTCCAACAGTGTTTGAGTAATGCAAATAACTTGACGCACAAATAAAGGTAGTTTTCATATTAAACAGGTCAGCTGAAAAGGGGACACCAAAGTGACACACTTTTGGTCTCCAAATTTACTGAGTGACCCACATGGTATTTCAGAAAAACCTATAGAACTTTGATTCGATATTGTCGAGGCCATTGGAAGACCAGTGACAAGACCAGTGACAAGACCAGTGACAAGACCAGTGACAAGACCAGTCACAAGACCAGTCACAAGTAACGGGTTGAACAATGGCTTTTGTTGCAGTTCATTTGAATAGCCTGTGACTTGACTTCAGACTGGAGGTCTTGTCTTGCATTGGTCTCATAATGGTCTTGCGGGGTCTTGTGATGGTCTTGCGGGGTCTTGTGATGGTCTCAAGGTCCCATTTTAGTTTCTGCCTTAGAAGTACAAGTTTAAAAAAGAAGGCAACCAAATAACAAAGAAAAAAAAAAAACATACCTGAATCAGGGCAAATATACAATGTAACGACATAACTAACCCAGATTAAAGGATATTGAAGCAAGCTTTGCAAAGCTCAACGTTTTCTTATTACCAAAGGAGGGTCCTGGGTCAAAACCTATGTCCACCTCAATACTACTATCTGATTAAGCTAACCCGTGACTGACTTTGTGGGTAAGTTTTAAAAGGGTTCAAGTGGGTACAACTCAAACTTTAATGTAATTTCATTACAGTTTGAGTTGTACCCACTTGAACCCTTTTTAGAACTTTGCAAGACTCATTTTATGATAACACAACATGGGCACTGTGTAATTAATACATGTAATAAAGTACACGTTTCTGTACATAACACTGCCCTCAAGTATATATCCCCCAGCTTATGATAAGCCGACAAATATACATGTAGCTCATGATAAGAAATGCTCGGAAATATTGGCTGAGTTCGGGCAGCTTGTTCTCGAATGTTCAGAAATAGCTTGATTTCTTGTTCGTGAGTCGGCCGCTAAAACGCTAGGAATGTACAGCCGGTTGTGGTTACTAGTTATTTCTAGCATACAAGCAGCGTGCAACATGGCGGCGTCCTCATGCATTCTTCGAGAGTTAATATTTGAGCTAACGAAAAAAAAAAGTCATATCTGTCATGGAAAATTATTGATGCCATCTCGATAGCTTTTGCAGCTTTTCAAAAATCAAATCTCGCAAGTTTTCCTGTGTGTTCGTGTAAAACCCTGACGAGGAGGTGGTGTGTGAACCTGTTCCGAGAACAGTGTTCTTGGGTCATGTTCCCACCGTTCAAGCACGAGAACGCGAAACCTGTGTCAAGAACAGGCCCGCCCGAACTTGACAATTAAGTCCTAAAGTGAGAAGTTAAATGCTACCCTGTAAACTACAACAAACTCAAAAATAATAAAATGCAAAAGTGTTGAAGAGAGCTACAGGTAGGTTTCCCAAGGCTGCAACTCATAAAACACACCTGGATTTCTCGTATGTCAAAGACCAACTCCAACGCTTTTAAAAATTTTGAAACTTTTGAATGGTGTCTTCAAGTTTTATGAAAAATTTCTGAAATCTGACCACTGGCAGGGCTGTTGAGAAACAAAATTTGTATGATTTGATACTGGAGAAAACATTGAAATTGGTACCCATGGCACGAGTGGTTCTACAACAAACGTACATGTGCATGAACATGGAGCTACATGTGCCTGCACCGCGTACCGAGGATCGATCTGTGGGCCGGGTCTACTGTGCCGCATTATTTCTTTTCCGTCACGAGTTGGTGTTCCTTTCTTCAAGATTTACAATAATGCTAAAATTGCGCATCATTGGTGGATGTATTGGAAATTCTGCAAAAGAACCAGGATGGAAATTCTTTGAGTTTCCGAAGGATGAGAGCATTCTTCAAGTTCGTACTGTCGTCCATGCATGCCTAAAACGCATGCACTGTAGTATCTCCTCTCCACGGTCATACATCACACAAATCAATATTCATGAGATGCTAATGAGTCGTGACGACACGCCCATTTTTACAATACCGGACTGGACTCGCAGGAAAATGGGTATATTTTTGTGTTTTATTGACACAAAAATGTGTCCTGCCAGGGAGATATTGATATTTGCAACTTTTATTAGACTTGGCTCTTCTGAATTGGATTCAATATGAGAAAAGTTAGCATCATTGGAGTTGGTCTTTAAAAGTCACTGTCTTTACGCATTCCACAATGGGTCAAGAAACTTTGGCCATAAATAGAGAAATTTTATGGAAGTCTAGAGGACACGAAACGGGGGAGTCAAGTTGGCGTAGTGGTTCTTTTCGCGGTCCAGGCTCGATTCTCCGCTCGGCTCACAAGTGGATTGAGTTTTCAGTCCCTGCATGTGCCTGATTCTGTCGGTTTTACCAAAGATATTCCTCTGGGGCGTTCGCCCCACCTCTAAAACTGTAACAACATCTCATTGTCCTCTCTCTACAGGTTTCTTCGGGCTTGCGAGCTACAGTGCCTAGGGTGCTTTTAAGAAATCTTTGGTGTCATCACCAGAAATAAATAATAATAACTGAGAAAATATGCTTGACACGGTCGAGTCTGATACACACTTGGGCTGGGAAAAGACTCACCTGAAATATCCCTGGCAACCAACATGGTCCCTTCGAACAGCTATGTTCATGAAACCTTAAACCTTAGAGATCAAAGATGTTATTGCTGACAAAAAAAAACAAACAAAGTGAAATTCCAGGAGAAAATTGGGCCTGGCTGAACAACAGTGACGTACCTGCTTGGCCAGGTCCAAGACGGCCGACTGTGGCAGAGCGTTGTAAATGGTTGCTACCAGCTCGGCGAGCTGGGGTATCATCGGCTGCATGTCGTCTAGCAGGGTGCGGCTGGCTCGCCGCAGCAACTCGCAGACGGCCTGGGTGCGCAAACAGAGACTGCTGAGTTACACTCTGCCTTGGGAGGAGCACGGGGAATTTTCCAAAACTCTGACTCATCTCTGTATCTGCCTTGGCCTTGCTTTTAATCCTCCGACTTTAAAGTTGTTACCTTAACAACAGTTGCTATCAAAACATCGACCCACATGCTATTAAGCGAAAGATTACAGTTTTATCATTTAATTCAAAAATTAGAGGACTACAAGTGACTAAAAGTTTGATAACAGGGATGAAGCCAGAGATGTGAAAC